AGAATTATTATGTTACATGGAAATTATTATCAACCAGACTGCCTCTGCCCTAAAGCTACTAGCCAAGCAACAAACCCAAATGCAAGCCACCTGGCTTTGGATTATCTTTCAGTGGAGGAAGGGGGAGTACATGGCAAGTTCAGTTGATTAGACTGTTGCTGCCCTATAGATGACAATGGTCAAACAATTAGAAATTGCCACTAATATAAGAAAGATGGCACATGTACCCATACAGGTGTGGAAAGGTTGGAACCCCAGATAATTATTTGGAGGATTGTTTTCAACTTTTGGGGATTCAAAACACTCATAACTGTTATGCTTTTGATTTTAGGGCGTGCCTGTTTTGCCCTGCCTGACCCCCCTGATGAAGAACTGTCTCCAGCCTCATCGAGGCCATAGTTGAAAGAAAAATGGCTTCCCTAAGTCAAGATGATGCTCTTTGACCCTAGATGGCTCTGAACATCAATGCAGGGAATGATGTAGCAGTGGGGAGGACCAGAAGAGAAACAGATAGGCTGTGTTCTGATAATGAAGCAGGGGGATAGGAATGGCACAGCAGAGATAAAACCTGAAGAATCCAAATGTGAAGAAGGTCACTTAGCACTAGGGGTAGAAGGGCACTTAGCACTAGGGTGAAGTAGCCTATAGAATTGCATATAACCATATATGGGTTAAACCTTGTTTTAAATTTTATTGCCTGTGTAACCTGTTTTCAAGGGTTATAAGGTGAGACCCTTTGTGCTCAGGGAGTCCACTGAGTCTGTGCCAGCACAATAAAATGTTGCTTCCTTGCCTCAGAGTCCTATGTCTCTGTTCGAGTTTCCCATAATAGTAGGACACTTATCTAGCATGTTCAGTGCTCTGGGTTTGATCCCTTCTTCCCCAAAATAATTCAGTATAATGCTGCTGTTGTTTTAGGGAGGGGGCAAAATTAAACTGTCATGTATGTTGTTCCTTTTAGGAACTTATGTTAAAATTATGCAAAAGCAAGCATGAGGCCCTGAGTTCTACCCCCAGTACTACCAAAACCAAAACCAAACAAAAAACCTCTTCCAAAAACCTCCAGCACTTGGGAAGCTGAGGCAGGAGAATTAAGAGAGCTCAAAGTCAGCCTAGATACATGTCCAGACCCTATCTCAAAACAAACAAACAAACCAACACCCCCATGATGAAGAATAGAACTATACTGAGTAATGTTATAAAACACGATGTTGATTATGTTAGGAAAATATTTACTAGAATATTTGCCAGAATATGAAAAATCATTATCTCCAAGTATCATGAGAGCTTTATCTTATCAAGTGGTCATCATACCTAATAGATTTAGACAGTGTCAGTAAGATTATCTTTTTGGTTACTAGTGTCCTATAACCTCTGCTAGTCTTAAAGGTGTTTCTTTGTTTTTTTTTTTGGGTGGGGGATACTCACGTTTGAACTCAGGGTCTCACACTTGCTAGGCAGGTGCTCGAGCACTTAAGCCATTCTGCCAGTCCTTTTTGTGTTGGGTATTTTTGATAGCACGTCAGGAACTATTTTGCAGCTGGTTTCGAACCTCTATCCTCCTGATCTCTGCCTCTTGAGTAGCTAGGATTATAGGTGTGAGCCAGGACACACTAGCTGTATCTTGATATTTGTAGGACACACTGTTGACTTTCTACTTCCTGTCCACTTCCCTCCTCTCCATCCTTCCACCTCCAATTTTATTCAGGTACCCATATTCTTCTAAGAAGTCTTTGGTATGGGGAGGCTAGACCCAGTCTGTCTCAAGGGTAAATCCTGGTGTGTTAAGGTTGTAAAAACTAAGGCAATCATGGTGATGCCAGTCCCTTTGTCAGAGATTATTTAAGGTTGGGTGACTCATTATAGGCTGTGAGATTGAAGGTATATGGAGCAAGAAGATTTCTATGCAGGTTTTTTCTGCTTGAGAATATTGTTATGTCAGGAAGTGAAACCTAGCACTATTGGTCATCCTAGACCGTGAGAACCAGCCTTAGAATTAGACTGTCACTGAAGATGATGTAGCGTTGAGAGGAATTTGTGTTCTTGATGGCACCCTTAAGCCACTGTTTATACTGTACTCAGAGACACTTTTATTATTACTTTAAATAAAAGCAGAGATGCTTTAGTATTATTATTATTATTTCGTTCAGGGCCGTGTTAGGCAAGGACTCTACCCAGTTTTTTGTTGTTGTTTTTCTGTTTTGTTTTGTTTGTTTGCTTTTAAATTATTTTTCAGATAGTGTCTCAAACTTTTTGAGATCTCAGACTGGGATCCTCCTACCTATGCCTCCAGAGTAGCTAGAATTATAGTTGTTCACCACCATACCTGGTTTATTTTTTTGGTGGTACTTTAGTTTGAACTCAGGGCCTCATGTTTGCTAGACAGGCACTCTACCATTTGAGCCACTCAACCAGCCCTGTTTTGTATTAGGTTTTGTTTTTTGTTTTTTTTATAAAGCAAGTAATTCATTTTAATTAGATGTCCTTGAAGTCTTTAAATTAAGGTCTTTTCATAATGGGGTTACAGATGTGGAAATGGCACTCACAGGGAATAGTTAGCAATGCAAGATGGTCCTGTCCCTGAGATACTGATATCCAGAGACACACATGAACTGCCAGGGATGACACAGAAGCTAGCACGAGGACCATTTAATTCAGTACTCATCTGTCTCAACATGAAGCAGCAGAATGGCTGCCAATCCAGTGTGGGATTAAGAGAAACCCAGAAGGTGAGTGTGTGAAAGAAATTCTAGATCTAGGAATTTCTTCAAATGTCCAATTGACTAGTGTGCAAAGAAGTCCAGAATGCCACAAGACAGGTCTTGATCTTAACTTCTTCTCTAACCAAAGAATTAATTGTTTTAAAGGAAATTTTGGAGATTTTTTCCCTTGGTGTGGGATGATCCAGGTGGCACCACTGAGGACCCAGATCCTTGCACAGCATCTAGCACATATGCCTCCACAATTGTTTAAAGTACATTGGTCAAAAGATCGAGTGAGTGAATGAATGGGTGTTTCATCCCGAGACTCCTCCACACTGCTTGCCAATGTCTGAAAATAGCACACAAGGACAGCACCCTGCAGAAGGTTAAATACTGTATCCCCTCAAAAGAAATCCATGTTTAATCCCTGGAACGTGTGAACGTTTCTGTATATGACAAGAAGAGGATTTTATAGATGTAACTAATAAAGGATCTAGAGATAGGGGATTATCTGAATGAGCTCTAAATGCAATCACATATATGTTTATGAGGAGGAGTTTGAGAGAGATTTGCACTCAGAAAAAAAGGGAAAACTGTAGAGACAGAAACTGAAATTATATGGCCACGAACCCAGAAATGCTGAAGCTACCGGAAGTTGCAACAGGTTAGAAACAAATTCCCTGCTAGAGCTTCTGGAGGTAGCACGGCCTTGCCAACATCTTGATTTCAGCCCAGTGATACTGCTTTCAGATTTCCGGCCTCCAGTGTTAGGTTTTTTGAGATAGGGTCTGGAACTGTTTGCCTGGGCTGGCTTCAAACAGTGATCCTCCTGATCTCTGCTTCCTGAGTAGCTAGGATTACAGGAATGAGCCACCCTCACCTGCCTCCTGCCTGTAATGTGTTTATTATAGTTTGATCATATTGACCTCTCCATTCCCCTTTTTTGTCCACCCCTTCCACTTGTCTCCTTCCTGTTCCCAAATAGTAGTTTTCTTTCTTCTTCCCTTCTCTTATTTTTTCCCTTCCTTCCTTTCTTCCTTCTCTTCTTTCCTTCCTTCCTTTTTTCTCCTTCCTTTCATCCTCTCTTCCTTCTTTCTGTTTTTTTGAGACAGACTCTCCCTACATAACCCAGGTTGGGCTTGAACTCGACAGACCTCCAATTTAGTCTCAGGTGTGGTGTTGCAACTGTGGGCCACTGTACCCAACTGCCTTCTATTTGCATGTCTACTACTTGTATTTTGAATCCAGTCCTTTATTTTCATAATTAGTGATTTAAAGTTTTAGCATTGATAATTACAATGTTCATGGACTTTTTAGTGCTGATATTTAAAAGCCTTGGTTATGCTTGGAGACGTTTGAGGTAATTCTATATGGCACCTCTTAATCTATGCCCGCAAGGACAAACTTGACCCTTCTATCAATTATACTTACTCATTATTGCAGCTCCACTTCTCAACCTACAAGAGAGCTCTAGAGACACTAAGTTGAATCAAAAAACCCAAATCATTAGGAAATATTGACCCTTTTTATTAGTAAGAATCATTACATTTCTCCTGACACTTCATCACACAGCACGGTGTGGTATGAGTCCACATTCGTAATCATTAGGATGCTCTGGAAAGCCGAAGCAAAAGACAAAAAGACGAAGTCCTTCTCCCTACCACACCGGAGCTGGACAGTTAGATACAGAAAATAAAAGAATATGCTTCCTAACCAGAACAGCTCATTTTTATAGCGCTCAATCATTAGCGCCCTAAACTCTGAGGTAATTATTACCTCGCCAGCAGTAAAAGCCTGATTATAGCCCCAGACTGCTTGCTGTGTGAAGGCCCTGGTTCCTGCAACTTGCAAAGGCAAAATAATATTAACTGTGATTAATTATCGTGTGGTTCAATACAAAGACAAGATGATTTATGTGGCTTCCTGAGGGTACTAAAAGGGTTCTTGCTGGGGCACTAGAGGCAAGGAAACTGGTCCTTCCCGGTCTGACCTGCCACCAGCTCCCCGGACTCGAGTGCTTGCTTCCCCCTTGCGCGGATCCCTGCAATCCCAATCCCTCTCCCTCTCCCTCCGACCTCTCCACTCCCCGTCCCCGGCACCGCGCACCGCTCGCGGAAGGGGCGTGGCTTCCCCATGCCCGCCCCCGGCCCCCATTGCGCTGGCCGTGCGTGCGCGCCTGCGCTAGCTCTGGTCTTGGAGCAGCCATGATGGTGGGTGTCCTAAGTGGTGCCGAGTACCGGGCGCGCGGTGGGGGCGGCGGGCGCGGGCGGGCGCGGGGACCGCGCCGGCCTGGCATTAATGTCTCCCTTTGTGTTCCCCATTCCATCCTCTCCCCGGCGTGCCGGGCCCGCGGACCCAGCAGGAAGGCCTGGACGACGGCCCGACTTCCTCTCGGAGGAAGACCGCGGAGTAAGTTCTGCCTCCTTCTCTCTTGCAGGACCTTGTCTTCCCCACCTAGCTCCCGGGTGTGGTCTGAGGAGGGGTCCCTGGGGCGCGTCACCCCTTCCCCGGCGTCCTTTCGATTTCCTCGCCGCATCGCGCCCCGCCTCTTGCAGCCCTTCCTGCCTCCCTCAGGGCCGCTCCTTTCCGAATCCCGGGGACCGCGGCCGCCTTCTGGTCTCCGGCCCCGGATCCCACCCTGTGGCGAACCCTCCCCGCGCGGCAGGGTGCAAGTCTCGCCACTTTGGCCCATGGAAACCCTTCTCAACCCTTCCTGGCAGCACCCCAGTATTCTCCGTCGGTACTTAGCGAACCCGCTGCTGTCCCCTCTCTTCTCTCTCTTTCTCTAAAGCAGATAAAGTACGGGCTTATTCTAAATTACCCTTTTGCAAGGATCTCTACGGTCACCAAATGTCAACTGCACTTCAGTGTCCTACCAGATTTTGAGAAGTGCTGATAGCTCACGGTATCTCTAGTTTTCTAATCTCCCCTCCCCCATCTTTTGCAGGGTTCACTTAGTATTGTTTCCCCTCTAGAATTATCGAGGTATAGTTGACAAATAATAGTTGTATAGGATGCACAACGTAATGTTCTGATACACGTACAGCTTTGTGAAATGATTACTACAATCAAGCTAGCATACCTAGTTACCCTTTTTTTTTTAAAGTGAGAACACTGGAGGTCTATTTTCAGCAAGTTTCAAGTATATATACGTCACTATTAAATATAGTCACTATGCTATACATTAGGTTTCCGAAACTTACTCATCTCATAACTGAAAGTTTGAACGCTTTGACCAGTACCTCCCCTTTTCCCAACCCCTTGACCCTGTCCCTGTTAATGACCATTCTACCCTTGGTGTCAGAGAGCCTTCAGTGCTCTGATTCTTCCCTCCTACCATCTCCCAACCCCCATTTGCCTTGGGTGAAGGGTGGTTAGATGTATAGTGCCTTGCAGAAGTGATCAGTTGAAAATACTGAATACATGATAATTGCCACTGAGCAAAGTTCCATGGTTCCTTCACATTTCACAGCCTACACTTCAGCTTTCTATTTTGCTTTTACTAATCCATCAGAGATGTATCTGTTTGTGGATTTTTGATAGGTGATAAAACATTGTAGTAGAATATTAGTGCAGTTTATAATAAGAGATGAGATGGTGAGTATTAACTATTGACCTTTATCAAGCTTTCAGATAGTAAGAAAGATGCAAAGGGTGTTGCATTATTTATTTATTCATTCATTCATTTATTTATTTATCTGGTGGAACTAGGGTTTGAACTCAGGGCTTCCTGCTTGCAAAGCTGGTCCTCCACCACTTGAACCACACCTCCAGTCCTTTCTTTAAGTTTTTCGCAAGGACTTATTTTAGTGTAACAGGAGAAAATAGGGAGGGATGGGGGAGGCACCATTCCTGTTCCCCATGCTGGAAATGGAAATAAAGACTCCTGTATATTTTTCTTTTAGTTTACACAAAAAATTGCTTAGAATTTCTAGTTCAAAAACATTATATAGAATTTCTGCTTTCTAAAATTTATGTGTTACTGTGTATATTTTCTGGAATAAGACACTAGAATTAGATGAACATTTGCAAAATATACTTTGATTTTAAAGTTGGGGAAACCAGCAAATTATTAATAAAATGAAGTAAGTTGATATAGTGCAATTAAACTAATAGAATTTTCTAAAAATAAAGAATAAGCCGCCTTTATTTAGATAACAACCTTGTATCTTTGTGGTCTACTATAAAAAGCCAACAAGATTTTTTTTTTTTAAATTTGACTAGTGTTCAGTAAAAGTATTAATTTTTTGAGTATCTATATTGATGATATGAAAAGTAGACTATTTCCTTCCTTCCCTCCCCCATCCCTCCTCCTCCCTCCCTCCCTCCCTCCCTCCCTTCCACCCATCCAGGTCCTCAAACAAGTTAGGTAAGTGCTCTTCACTTGAGCCAAGCCTCCAGGAATTTTTTTTTTTTTTTTAAACTATGGAACACTTCACGAATTTGCGTGTCATCCTTGCACAGGGGCCATACTGATCTTCTCTGTATATTGTTCCATCTTTAGTATATGTGCTTCTGAAGTGAGCACAGGGATTTGTTTGGTTTGGTGAACAGTACTGAGGTTTGAACTCAGAGCCTTGTACTTTCCAGGCAGGCTCTCTGCCACTTGTGCCACTTCTTGGTTCAGTTATTTACTTAGTTCTTAGTTTGTTATTTTTCAAATAGGGTCTCGCTTTTATGGCGTAGCTGGTCTGAACCACTATCCTATTTACCCCTCTGTGCAGCTGGGATGACAGGTGCGTGCTACTTTGACCAAGTTTTTTTGGTTTTTTTGTTTTTCTTTGTGATGAGGGTATTGCTTACTTTGTTCCTACTGGTCTTCAACTTGTGATCCTCCTGCCTCTACCTCTTGAGAAGCCAGAATTACAAATTTACAGATGTTCTCCACCACACCCAACAAAATAGAATATTTTGATGAATATTGTGTTAATGGCTTTATGACTTTGAAAACTTTGTTTATGGAACTGAAAGCACTTAAGTAATGTGTCCAGAAACTTTTTCATGTATTACATAACTATAGGGATGGGGTAGGAATAAGACAGCATGCTTGATGAAGAGGCTCTTACAGAATCTTATAGATGAAAATTTTAATATGAAAGTGGAGAAAAAAAGGCTGGGAATGCAGAACAGTGGCCCTGGAGTTGATTCTTCAAGTGGAATAATGATTTAGGACAACTTTTACAACTATTTTAGCAATTTTTTTTTGTACTAGGGTTTTGAACTCAGGGCTTTGTGCTTGTTAGTCAGGTGCTCCTACCCTTCAATCATACCCCAGCTCTAGAAAACTTTCAGAACGTCGTGATGATATGTGCATATGTCCAGTTCTTCTTTTGTTCTGTGGAACTGGGTGAAGCTTAGTAATAATTATAGCTGGGTGCTATAGAAGCACTGTGTAAGCATTGTTTGATTAATATCCTCTCATCTTTCTTCTGAAGCCTTAGTGTCCCCCTTTTCCAGATGAGAAATCTGGCCGAGCACTGGTGGCTCGTACCTGTAGCTCACTCAGGAGGCAGAGAACAGGAGGATCAAGGTTCATAGCCAACCCTGGACAAATAGTTTTGAAAGACCCTATCTCAAAAAAACCCATCACAAAAAGGACTGGCGGAGTAACTCAAGTATTAACAGCCCGTGCCTCAAAAGTGTGAGGTCCTGAGTTCAAACCCCAGTACTGCCAAAAAAAAAAAATTATTAGCCACATTTTGATGTCTTCAACCCCCACCTCTGTATACTAGGTTTTTTTGCCCCCAAATGAAGGACAGTGACATTGGTAAACAAATGAGTCCTTTGAACTGGACACATTTTGTTCTGATGTGCTTGTTCTGGTGAGCAATGCATGCCAGAGTGATGGCTTAATTCTCCTTAGATTCAACCCTAAATAATGTGTTTATTGTTTTCAGAAATTATTTTAGGTGGAGTAACCACATCTCCTGGACTACTATACTTGCTTCTTCCTCTGAATTCTTCATCTTCACTAATGCCATCATTTTCTAGTTGTGCAAGAAACATCTGAATCATACATACCCTTCTTGGATTTTTTTTTTCCTCCTTCATCCTTTTTTTTTGTTCTTTCTTGGGTTTTTTTTTCCTTCACTCCCATCCTCATATCAAAACAGTGACTGAGACCAATTTAATTTCATCTTGGAAATGTTTTCCCCATCTTCCTTTTCCATGGCTTTGGTTAAGATCTTTGCTACTTCTTGCCTCAATTGTAGTAGTACCCGTACTAGTCTGGGTTTAGTTTTTTCCAATTCAGCCATCACACTGTGTATAGTTACATAACTGAAATGATAAAATCATTGACTGTTTAGAAGTACTTACTTGGACCCCATTCTTTTTGCAGTAAGGTCTTAATCTTAGAATAGCATTTGTCACTGTTCATCACCTTTCGGGCTGACTTTAATTTGCCATCCTATCCAACATACTTCAGTCTGCTTGTCATTGCCCAGGCACCTCTGCACTTTATTTATTTATTTATTTGTGGTACTAAGGGTTTGAAATCAGGGTCTATAACTTGAAGCCATTCCATCGGCACTTTTTTTGAAAGGTTTTTTTTTGAGATAGGGTCTTGGAAACTATTTGCCTGGGCTAACTTCTGGCCTTGAACCTCCTGATCTCTGCCGCCTGAGTAGCTAGGATTACAGGTGTGAGCCCTTGGCTCCTGGCTCCATATATTAACTTAATTCTCAAATTCCTTTGAATTAGCTGCTGCTATTCCTACTTTGGAAAGGAACACAGATCAGAAAGATTAAATAACTGTCCAAGGTCATACAGCTAGTAGGAGCTCTAGTTAGACATAAACAGTTTAGCTTTAGGGTATGGTTCTTAACCTCTTATGTTTTTTACAAAGTGAACTAATCCTAAATGTTAACCCAGAATGTTGAGACTCTCAGGAAAGAGGAAGGGGACCTGCTAGCAGAAAGGTTAGCCTGTTTTGGATAATTTGGTTCTTCCTGGTGGCCTGATCTTATTGAGGCAGATGTTGGAAAGGTAGATATGGCTAATACAGGTAACGTGTCGAGGGCTCCAGGCAGTGGAAGTGCTAAAGGAATTTACACGAGCAAATACATTTTGCCGGATGGAATAGTATTGTAGATTAGGTGGAGGCTGCATGGATTCTTCCTTTCAGAAAAGCAAAGCAGTTGCAGCAGACCGGATGACAAGTGATGATGGCAGAATTAAGGCAGTGAAAGATAGGATGAAGGAGAGGATATAGCAGAGATGTTGAATAGAATTGACAGGGCCTAGTGACTAAGTACAGGGGCTGGGCAGGAGAAGAAAATTCAGAGTATAAGAGGGAAGAGCAGAGGTAGAGGGTAGATAATGTGAAGTTAAAAGTAACTTCTGTGGGGGTGGGGGCCAAATTATGTATACACATGTGAGTAAATGTAAAAACGATTAAAAAAAAAAAA